TTTTTTTTTTTTTTTTTAGATAGAACAAATGTGCTCAGATCTGGCTTCGACTAGAGATGATATTGAGTTTTCTGCGAGAAAGATGTTGGATAGCTAGTTTCTCTGAAAGAGTAATCAAAGACTGAAGAAGAAAGAAGAAAAAAGAAGATCAATTAATTGTCACTCGCAAACACTTTTAACCGGTTGACGATACTTTTTTATGAGTATATTTATATTTTCTTTTTCTCTAAAAAAAATTTAAACAACCGTAATAATCACTTTTTAAACGTACACCATCTCATATATTCTCTTGATTCTTGTTTCTTTTTTTGAATCGTTCCTCGTGCGATTTCTTTTCTTTCTTTTTTTTTTTTTTTTTATATAATACATTAATAAAAATCGTCCCAACAAAAAATGACGCGTAATTCCTAGAAGAAAGAAAATGAAAAAAAAGAATGATTTAAAAAAATAATATAATACACTGTGACACGATTTGTAAATACGTTTTCTTTTTCCTAAGTAATTGAAACTGAAACTAATTAGATACACAGAGGTAACACGTTAAACCTGTGTTACTATTTGTACACACGTTGGTTTTCTTTTTTGTTGTTGTTGCTGTTGTTACGTGTTAGAGAGTAAGGGTAGTTGATTTGTAATGAGGGATAAAAGAGTAAATAAAAAGAAAAAGAAAGAAAGAAAGAAGGGAGAGGAAGAAAGGAAACAAAAAATTTGGAATCATCATAGTCGTCACCGGTTAAGGGTGAAAAGGAAAAAACAAAGAGAGAGGGTGGCTGTGAGTAACGCGTCGAAGTGGACGCCATAATATGTCAGGGTAACTTTAGGATAAACTTTAGTACTTTCGAGCTACTTCCAACGAATGGTGTCTCATTCTTAGCGTAGATAGTTTTTAACATTCTCCTTTCTAAGTTTTATCGAGGAAAAATAAAACAAAATAATGTAACTATCATCCTCCTGTCCCGTGTCCCTTGCCCCTGCCCCTTATAAACAAAAAAAAAAAAAGAGGAGATAGAAGGAAAGAAAAACGTTGTCAACGAAAAAGAAAAAAATAATAAATTCGAAAAGTGCAACAAGATAATAATATGATACATTAAATTTGTGTTACTAAATGTAGCGCCACACGTCGAGGACAACGAAAATTATCACCACCAACCCCCCATGTCCCTCCCCCCCTTAAGAGAAATAAAGGGGAGAAAGAAAGTAACAGAGTGAACGAAAAAATAATTCATTCACTTGCAACATGGTGCAATTTATCGTATTTTTAATTTTTTTTTTTTAATTTTATTTTAAATTATTTTTTTCTTTTTTCTATATAATTGTAAGAATAACCACTTCTAGATCAAAGGTGATCGAAAAAAAAAAAAGGAACATATCTTTATATCTCTCGATTATGTATATAACAAATATGATTTTTAACGACGATAAATTTGTATATTTCTCGATGCTAACATTCCAACAAATTTCCAAACCCCTACTCGATAATAACCCTTAAAAAAAATAAATAAAGAAAAAAAAGGAAAAAAATCGTTCTTCCTTATATCGTCGTCGTAATCGTCGTCGTTGTGTTATTGTATTATTGTTAAAATGAACAATATATAATTACGTTCGTTGAATCAAATGAAAATTAAACAAAAAATTATCTCTTATATACTCTGCTATAACGCGTATGGAAAAAAAAAAGTTCGTTGCAATGATCAATATTAAATCATGTAAATTACCTCCTACCCACCCCCACTCCCGCCCCTTTTCGATATATTATAATTATCATTAATAAAAAAAAAAAGTATAGATAACGTATACGTAGAGAATTTTTGTCGATGTGCGATTGTAAGAACATACATATATATAAAAAGCAAATATTTTCAATGAATGCTTGTAAAACTCTTTGAGAGTAAACGACGATAGAAAAGAAAAAAATAAGAAGAAAATGAAGATAATGATGAGATATTATACCTTTTGGTATGTATTGTATATATACATATATAAATATAAGTATAATAATTGCGTATACATATATACGAAATATTCATCGAGAATTATAGTGAATATATTATATAATATATTGTACGTACATTTTGTTATTCTTTTAATAATTTTTATACGATACCATTTGGTTATTTATAAAATGTTATATTTTCATTATTATAATGAATATTTTTGCAACTATTATCGAATTGGATATATTATATTTATTGTGAAAAACAAGAAAAAAAAAAGCAGATAAGATGTTTGTTTAGAAATTAAACGTTATGGAAGCGGTCAAAAGTTCTTGTACTTTTTGATGATTTTTCAAAATTAATTATTATTTTATTTTTCTAAGAACTTTTTAAGCTTCGTAATTAGATTTCTAATTTTACAATATTAATTTTCAAGTTTTAAGATCTTAAAATTAAGACGATTAGTCGAAACGTTAGGAGAAAGAATAATTGATTTTTAAAATCACCTAAAAAGTTTTGACCATCTCTTTTGTAATAAAATGAGTTATCTCGTAAGATAAAATGAGAGAAAGAGAGAGAAAGTGAGAGAGGAAAAAACAGAGGAGGGAATAAAAAGGGAAGAAAAAAAAAGAAAGATAAAGAAAAAAAGTTAAAAAAAAAAAAAAAAACTTTGTTCTACGTGCTTTTAGTGCTTTTGCTTATGGACCGAAGAAAGATGAAGCAAAAAATGAGCATATCTCTCTCTCTCTCGCTCTCTCTCTCTCTCTTTCTCTCTCTTTCTCGAAAGTTTTCATATATTAAAATAATAAGAAGATACATATACATACATGGAAGATACGCATCGTCGTCGTTGTCAAATATTCAGCTATGTATACCTCGCATAATGTTCATCTAAAATGTTTAAAAATCGACACAATGCCTTATGATTTATTATGCATAGGCCTATACATATATATACTTATTAGTATTTGTACATACTATACATACATACATACATACATACATACATATATATAAGTCATGCATCATCTTATAATAATACGAATTGTACGAATGTGCATTGATTTCTATAATGATATTTATTTTCTAATTAGCAAGAATGATTTTGTTATTTTTATTACATATCTTTGTTTTTTTTTTCTTTAATTAATTTACATACAATTAAAATATATTTCTTCGTGTTGAATTTCTCGCGACGTGTGTGATTTGTATAAACGAAAAAAATATATAAAATATAATCAGTGGCTTCCTGCTAGCGTAGTCGTATAATTATGCGAACATGTTGATTTTTGTTTATAGTAGATATTATAACAAATTGTTGATATATGAAAAATGAAAAAAAAAAATGTTGGAGATAATATGTGCTTTCTAAAAACAAAACAAAAGAAAAATATATAGATATATATATATACATATGTGTATTTCCTATAAGTTGGAATCTTTTTTGTAAAAACGAAAAGAAAAAATCGAATTAACCAAAATTAGCTCTTGTATCGTTTTAATATCTTTTTTATTCCTTAAAAATATCTTCAAGGATGTAGGAGAAAAAAAAAGAGAATGATTATTCAAAAAATATAATTCGTTTATCGAATCATGATTTCGGATGTGGATTGTTGAAAGAAAAACAAATTTCAATAAAAAAACAAAATGAAATATATCTGACGCATACAAAAAATATATTATCATAATAATACATATCTATATATTATACGTGTAATTATATATCACATGCTTTTTTTTTTTGTATGTCATACTGTTCGAAAAGTAATTTCATTTTTCTCAAATGGTAAGTGAAAGAGAACTTTTTTTTATATTCAGAAGCAATGACAGTTTAAATAATGGCAATAATGTATATTAATTCTTTAATTTTAATTTTTTGTTATCACTATTATTATTATTATTATTATTATTATTATTATTATTATTATTATTATTATTATTATTATTATTATTATTATTATTATTTATTTATTTATTTATTATTTATATGCTGGGAAATTTTGCGAATAATATGAAAAGTAATATAAAGAGCGATCAA